TTTTTGGGGGGTGTTGGTTTGGGGGTTTGTTTGGGGTTTTTTTTGTTTTTTTGTTGTTTTTTTTTTTTTTTTTTCAAGTACGATATTTATTTTGGTAGTGTAGTAAGCATATGGGCGGGTGGGTGTTTTCAGCACTTCATCAGTATGTTGATAAACGACAGTGGATGCTGTGAAATGCTGTGTCGAGGGGAAAATGACCACAGCCAGACATACACACACACACACAAAATAAAAATCTCATGTGCGATTTGTTTTGCTACCTTTTTTTTTTTTTTCCTCCCTGGTAGTCCAGAAGTACTTGTGTTTTGGCCTGGAGAAGAGGCCCAGTGTAAGCCGTGTTGATAGGAGCCATAACAAAGCAGTAGGTGTTGTATGCAGTTTTCAAAGTGAACTTAGGTCAAGACAGTAAGGAACCAAAATCGGCCTGTGAGCGCTTATCGCTGAACTTTCATGTACTTAAAAAAGTAAAATGGCTGTCAAAGTTGGAAAAACTTCTACTGAGCTTCTCAACGATACGTGGGTGCCTGTTGGCCTTGTTTTGCATGATTATTGCAAATGTTCCTCAGTAAAGTCTCTTTAACTTTTAGAAAAAATCTGGGCACAGATTGAGATCTGATTCCCTAGCAATGGGCTTGTCTGGCAGAGACTGTGCTTGCTTCTCTCTAAGCATTTGTGTAGTCACACTGACTTGAACCTACCAAGGAGACTGCCTATATATCCTCAGTTGGGTCCGTAAGGCTGGCGCCTGCGTGTCTTCTCAGCGGTGCTTCCTGATGCAATGACTGCTGATTTGGTGGCCTCTTGTTCTGCTGAGGCTCTGTGAGCGCTGTGGCCAGCATACGTCCCTGTCACCCAGCTGATTTCCTCCCCTTTCCTTTTACCTTGTGAGAGATGCAGTGATGCTTATAACACTTCAAAATTCTGTACCCTGCCAAGACTTCCTATACGTACCATGATTGGGATGGAATAAAATCATAGAATGGTTTAGGTGGGAAGGGACCTTAAAGATCACCGAGTTCCAATCCCCCTGCCATGGACAGGGACACCTCCCACTTGACCAGGTAGCTCAAAGCCCCATCCAACCTGGCCTTACACACCTCCAGGGATGGGGCATCCACAACTTCCCTGAGCAACCTCGTCCAGTGCCTTACCACCCTCACAGTGAAAAATTTCTCCCTAATATCTAATCTAAATCTACCCTCTTCTAGTTTAAAGCCATTCCCCCTCGTCCTGTCACTACATGCCCTTGTCAAAAGTCCTTCCCCAGCTCTCCTGTAGCCCCCTTTAGGTACTGGAAGGCTGCAACAAGATCTCCCCGGAGCATTCTCTTCTCCAGGCTGTACCCCAATTCTCTCAGCCTTTCCTCATAGAAGAGGTGCTCCAGCCCTCAGATCATCTCTGTGGCCCTCCTCTGGACCTGCTCCTCCAGGTCGATGTCTGTCTTATGTTGGGGGAAAAAAAAAATCAGTCCTCAGGGTACTGCTCTGGGGCTGCAAAGAAGCCTCAGCATCAGGAGGACGCGCACTGTGATTTTTTGGCTCCATCCAGACAATTCCAGTTTAGCTATGGGCTGTGTCTCTTGAAAAACTTGCCGGTGTTGAGTTCTGGAAGTGGTAAAGTTTACCTTGAATGCACGTCATTGGTTTCTTGTTCTGTTCTAGGACCCAAATAAAGACACGGAGTGGAATGACATCTTACGCAAGAAAGGTATTCTTCCTCCAAAGGAAAACTTGGAGGAACAGGAACGTGCAAAGGAAGAGGAGCAGCTTGCCATCCTTCAGAAGTCTCTTGGTGAGTGACCAGACAACTTGGACAGCAGCAGC